AGTGTCCACAATGTAGTATACAAAAATTAAGGAAGACACCACTTGTCCCAAAGAGCTTATAATGTGATCTTTCCAGTTATCCTCTGAATTTTGAGGTCTTGCAACCTTTGATTGAAGGAGCAAGCATTTTTAATATTTAAAAGATATTTTTGCCTGTGATTCCCAGGTTAAATAGGAAATGAAAAAGATTTAAACAGCCTGAATAAAAATAATTTCCCTCTCAATCAGGTTTCACTTGTGTCTCATGTCAAGTTTACTAGTTTCTTTAGCTGTCCATGGAGCTTCAGGGGAAAAAACAAACCTAGATAGACTATATCTGAATTTCTAATGCAAAGCAAAGGATAAAAAATAGAGGTCCTTGTATACTTTACAGTGGGGTAGTCAACAGGTGGACTGCAGGCCAAATCCGGACCGCCAGACGCTTTTGAAGGGACCGCGAAATCTTTTTATTTATTTATGCTTACATCCCTTGTTGCTCCCTTTGAAAGCCCAAGCTGTCACCATGGGGCGATGTAAGTGCTACAGATGATGTAAGTGCGGGTCTGACAACCTGGACCCCAGCCACCCCAGGCAGGGCTGACAGCAGAGAGCCCCTAGCATGGGTATAAACAGCAATAACACCACTGAGGCACTGTTTAGGCAAGTATAGCATAGACACACCTGAAGGGTTGGGGATGTGCGCGAGTACATATCCTGCATGGCTCTCTACTTGCCCAAGCCTACATGGCTCTCTACTTGTCCTCCCATCTATCACTGCTATTTTTAGCAGATAGTGGAATGCCCCCATAATCTTTGTAAACATCGTGGAACAGGATTCTAGGGTTAAATGAAGACATCTAAAACTATATCCTGAGTATCATGGCTAAGAAACTGACAATTTATAGTTTTCCTTAGGCAAATATTTTATACACTAAGTGTACAAAGCATTCTTTTTCTCACATTTACTAGCAGTAGTTTTCATTCTCTCTCATGAGAGAACCAACACCATTCTTTCACCAAATATACACAAGATCCTGTGAAATCCTACAATATTTGTTTTCAGCTTTGCAGAATCAAGATGACAAAATCTCAACTACTTGTGGTTCAGAAGCCAGGAGAGTAAGTACATACTTGACAATCTATTTTAGAATCTTGACAAACAGATGAGTCCCCTATATTTGGAAATTGGTCTTACTTTTTCAGAATCAAATAATCAATATAGACCATATAGCTTATCTGTTCTCCCATGTGACAACTTTGCTTCAAACTGTGGTAAAACTACAACAACTTTATTGGATGGAGAAAATGTATGTTTATTACACATTAACCAATACAATGCATGCACAGTAAACTAGTAAGTAAAACAACAAAAAATAAATACATCAACATACAAAATTTAAGCAATGTAATATTCAACATGTTGTCACTATAAATACTTTAGATCTTATGTTACATAGGGAAATCGGTATTAACGAAACAGATAACTTTGAATCTAAATAATCTGTAAATACATTTCACATCCGAGCAATAGTGACAGAGACTTTGTCAACAGCAACTACAGTCCCATTATTATTGAGCCATCAGTTCCAATAGCTCCTTTTCAGTAATCTACAGAAAAAATTAGAGTTAGCTGTAGATGAGTTGGAATCATCCATCAAAGCTCTATTCTGTAGAAACCATGATGTTCAACCTCAAGGGTGAAGCTTATAAGAGCAGGCAACAGCTTTTTTGGCACCAGGACCAAAGCTATGGAACTCATTAAAGGAGAAGATAAAAATGCCCACAAAGCTCACTGCCTTCAAAATGAAAAGTAAAACATATTTCTTTGATTTAGCTTTCTCACAGCTACAAGTAAAAACAGTAAAGAATGAGAAAAGGAGGAAGAGAAATAAATCTGCTAAGAGACAGCCCCAGGAGTCCTGGGAAAAAACAAAGGATAGTTAGATCACTGGCCTAACGTGATTTTTGTTCTCCCGGAGACATTCAGATACTAAGGTGACAGATGACAATTTAAGATGATGTCTCTTTCCAATAGTCTAAGAATCAGACATAGCAACTCTTTTCAGACAGGAAACACTGCCTTCAGAAAGCCATTTCAAATTATAGGATGTAGCAAGTGCAACAGGGAATGGCCAAATTGTCTTTCCCGAAAGCAGAAAAACTACAAAGAAAAGTGTAAACAGAAAGACAACACAGAACAATGTCATTTCTTCTGACTCTGCAGTGTCAGAGTCAGTAATTTCATTTTTAACAACATTTTCTGTGGAAGAATTGCCCAGTTCCAACTGACTAAAATGTTGAGCTATAATTTTTTTTAAATAAATAAGCATTAGCACAATGGGGTCCAGGTCCACAATTAGGGCTCCTACATGCTTCAATAATGCAAATAAAGAAGAAGAATAGAGCCACTGCCTACAATATTAGCACTCATACCTCCTTTCAAGAGTAGCCACTATCAGTTACAAACACATGATTTAATATGCAGTCAATGAGTATCTCAGTGTTTGGCAAGAAGTATGGCCAGCCTTGCCCTATACTGAAGTCAATGTCCACTTCAACAAATGTATTTTGGCAAAAATGAAACAGTTATTACAAAATACATATGCGTTTTACAGGGCACAGACTGTGCCTTTTGCATTTGACCAGTACCTAGCCATTTTGGGCACTAACGGGTACAACTAATAAAAAACAACGCCACTGGGGCAAAATGAGTGGCAAACAGTAAGTCTGCCATATCAATTATACAGGAGCCTGTCAAAATCTGTAAGACAATTTCCATGCAAAAAAAAAAAAGCAAACATCATTCTGGGATGTATTAGCAGGAGTGTTGTAAGCAAGACATGAGAAATAATTCTTCCGCTCTACTCTGCACTGATTAGACCTCAACTGGAGTATCGTGTTCAGTTCTGGATGCCACATTTCAGGAAGGATGTGGACAAATTGAACAGACTCCAGAGAAGAGCAACAAAAATGATTAAAGGTCTAGAAAACATGACCTATGAAGGAAGATTGAAAAAATTGGGTTTGTTTAGTCTGGAAAAGAAAAGACAGAGGGGTCATGACAACAGTTTTCAAGTACGTAAAAGGTTGCTACAAGGAGGAGGGGAAAAAAATATTTTTCTTAACCTTGGAGAATAGGACAAGGAGCAATGGGCTTAAATTCCAGCAAGGGAGGTATAGGTTGGACATTAGGAAAAACTTCCTAACTGTCAGAGTGGTTAAGCACTGGAATAAGTTGCCTAGGGAGGCTGTAGAATCTCCATCATGAGATTCCACAAGAGCAGGTTAGACAAACATCTGGCAAGAATGGTCTACTCTAGATAATACTTAGTCCTGTCATGAATGCAGGGGACTGGACTAGATGACCTCTTGAGATCCCTTCCAGTCCTAGGATTCTACCTTCATACTGTATTAAAAAGGAAAAATATCAGTCTTCACTAAACCTGCATGCAGTATAGTTGTAGCCAGGTTGGTTTCAGGATTATAGAGACAAGGTGGGTGAGGTAGTATTTTCACTAAACCTGGACAGTCAGGGGATTGTCAATGGAATGAAGCCTTACCCCGTCCAGATCTTGGTTACTATTTTGTCTGGAACAGATTTGAACCAACAACATACATCAACCAGCCCTAGATGCTTTAACATCTAGTGTCTTAGCTGGAGTGAATGGATAGTCCGTCCAGCTCACACTGACAGCCACATCAATTTGCAGCCTGACTGTATTAACCAAAACAGAGTGGGAATGTCAACCAAGGAAGCTTGCCATGGCACCCACGAAGAGCCTTCAAATCAGGTTTAATACAGTGGTGGGACAAAATAGGTTAGAGTACTGCCAGTGAATGGCCTGTACTGTACTTGGAGAAGTTTTTAGTCTGTAGGGTTGTCAGGCAGGCACCTTCAGCAAGCACCAGGTTAAATTCATGGGGGACGGGGGAGAACAGGGGCAGAGAGAAAACAAAGATCTTTCCTGTGTGCCATGTAAGCCTTTTGCTTAAAAACACTGCATTCAATTTGACAGGTCTCCAAGTTGAAGGAGTCTTGATTTCACAGTCACACATCTGGGCAGACGCTGCCGCTTTCTAGTAAAATGGCTGCTACCAGGAGTGAACTTGTTCTCTATTTCGATTAGAAAGTTGATATTCAGCCAGCACATTTAACAGCCCACCCATGGGGGTAGCTTTTTCCTCTGTGATGAAGGAGACAAAAGGCGAGGCGGGGGCAGCCTTAGCCTGACACCTCCCCACACACACCCCGCCAGGGAAAGTGGTTGGCGCGGCCTTTAATCCTGTCACTTGAAAGGTGGTGTTAGACAAGCCTCTCCGCTGGGGAGGAGTACGAGGCCCATGCAGCTCGGGTCGGGAGCGCCCCTGGGGCCGGCCTGCAGCTAGACAGCTCTCTACCGAGCGGCGGGACCGAGGCAGGGCCCAGCCTCCTTCTCCGCCCGAGCGGCCGCGGTCAAACCCGCACGGGACGCTCGGCCCCACACAAAATGGCTGCTGCGGCCGCCTGTGCGCTAACCGGGAAGGGGAGACCCGGCCACTACCGCCCCCCCGCCTAACGGGCCAGACCCGCTCCCAACCTCCGCCCTCCCCAGCGGCCCCTGGGGGCTCCCGCCCGGCCGCAACCGGGAAGCTCAGCCGCCCCCTCAGGCGGGCAGAGGCGCTAAAGCCGCCGCGCGGGGAGCCCGGCGCAGGAGCCGCCCCCATCCCCACTCCCGGGCGGGCGGGCGGAGCGGGCCCCGGGGCGCGGCCGGGATCCGGGGAGGGGAGACACAAGCTTTTCCTGTGAGGTGAAAGGTCAGGAGGGCGCGGAGCCGCCGCCCGGGGACGCCAGGACGGAGCCGCCCGCCCCGGGACAGACACGGAGGGGGCCGCTTCCCCGGCTCCTCCGGGTCGCGGCGCGGGACGAGGGACGAGAGCCGCCCCCAGGCAGCGCAGCGCCCCGCCCCTGTGCCAGGCCTCGCATGAGCCGCTGCCGAGCCCGGGGGAGGAAAGCGGCTGCAGGCCACCCCGGCCGCTCTCACCTGGCGGGCCCAGCTCCCGGCGGCCTCTCCTGGGGGGTTATTTGTCGGTGGCGGCTCCGGCTCCGGGAGGTCAGAGTTCGTGACCCCGCCCCTCCGCTCCGCGCGGCGCTCCGCCCTCCTCGCTCCTGTCCCCGACCCGCGCCTGCGCACACAGCGAGCCCGCCGGGAGGGGCGCGTGAGGCGGGCGCAGCTCGCGGACGGCGGTGGGAGGGAGCGGTAAGAGGCCGGAGCGGGCTGCGCGAGGATTCCAATGGAAGGGGCGAGGCCCCCGGAGCCACGTGCGGTCGTTGGGCGGGGCCTTTCCCCCACACGTGTGGTTCTACAGCCGGCGGGGTCCCAGGCGGCGGGAAACCACGTGAACACGGGGCGCGGCTCTGGCGCCCGGTGCGTCGCTTGCTTTGGGGAACCACTGCACGGAGCAGTGACCAGCCGACCCCGCACAGCCCCGTACCGGTGCTCTGGGTGGCCATTAGTCAGTACCCACCTCCGATCTGCAGGGGTCTAAGGTTCTCAGGTGTCTAGTTGTTGACCAGAATGACCAATCAAAAAGGGACCCCAGCGGCTCTGGTCAGCACCTTCTGCACCCTGAACCCCTCATTTCTGGCCCTGCCCCAGAGGCCTCACCCCCCCCCCCCCCCCCCCCCCAAAAAAACCCTGTACTGTATGACTCACACCCAGTGCCAGGTTTACAGTGGCGCCATGGAGCCAGGCCTGTGCTCAGAAGGGGCCCCAGCCTGCTCTGCCTGCACTGTGCACTGAGACCTCACTGGCTCCCCACCCCACCCTTCTTGGCCTGCCCACAGGCCAGCCGAGGACTCCTCTCTACCCCTGGTTCCACCTGCCAGCTTCTCTCTGCCTCCTGGTCTGACCCCACTACACCTCTGGCTCTGGGCAGTCTCTATTTCCCACCACCTGTGAGGCCCCACCTGTCTCCCCGGAACTGAGCTGCCTGGGATCGATGCAGAAGCTGGGCCAGTCTCAGCCAATGCAGGGGGGGCAAGTGGGTCCTGAGGGAGCCCGGGCGGGGCAGGCCCTGGCCTGGCTGATCGCATGACTGCTGAGGGGCCAGAGTGATTACCCACCCCGGGGCCAGTCCTGGGGACCAGATCACCAAAGGGCTCGTGAGTGTGGCCAGTAGGCAGGGCGTGGGGGAGTGGGTCTCTGGTGTGCCTGAGGGGGGTGCTTGGCTGTGAGGGGGCGGGGAAGATCTGGGTGATGGGGCACTAGGGAGTGAGGGTTCTGTGCGGGGTGCTGGGCAGTTGTGGTGGGGCTGTGGGCAGGGGGGCGTTGGGTAGGTGTGGTAGTGTGCAGGGCGCTGTGCATTTGTGGTAGGGTCTGGGGGGCTTTGGCCATAGAGAATTGGGGGTGAGGGGGTGTTCTGGTGTTGGGCGCGTGGGGGAGGATGTGTAGCGCGGCATGGGCCCACCCCTGAGGGGAAGAAGTATGCTGGCAGCACAGGGTTGGGTGGGCCATCATGGGTCTGGCAACTACTGGTTTGTAAATAGTGCCCTTGCACTGGGCTGGGCGGAGCCCTTGCTCTGGGGACTGACCTCCCGTCCCCGTGCCATGCTCCATTGCCCCTATGGGGGCCCAAAAATATGCTTGGCGCTGGGCCCACAAAAGGTTAATCCGGCCCTGCTCACACCCAACAACACTCCAGGTTCACTCCCAGGCATCTTCCCAGCAATTACTTCCCTCTCCCTCAGTGCCTCTGTTACCCAACTCTCCCAAGCCTTTGCGCTGTTTTGAGGGGTGTGAGAAATACATTTCAGTATTGTAGTTTAAATGAATTATTACTCAGAGTTCTGTATTAATACACCTAGTAAGAAATCTATTTGTTAAAAAAACATTTCCTGAATCTTTTTTGTTGTTTGTATTGTTACAGACATACTGGCAGGTATTTTGAAATAAATTACCCAAGTAAATGAAACTGGCATGATTATATTGTGTTGTTTTGACAAATAAAATGTGCAGAATTTTAAAATATTGTGTGCAGAATTCCCTCAGGAGTAGCATATGTACTCAGCCCACAGCCCCCAATTCAAGGTAAAAAACCACCTTCTGCCACCTGAACGCTGTTCCAGCTGCAGCTGTTTCTAACATCACATGGGCAGCCAGCATGGACTGACCAACTGGATGGTCTAACCAGGTCTATACTGATCATTACCCATGGAGCTTCAGCATTGGTGCACACCTCTCCTGCTGGCATCCAGTGCCTATTTTGACCTGGTTTTTCCAAATTGCCCTGAGGGAGAATGCTGTTCCAACAGACTGCTCTATCATTGCTTTGGTAGGACGTGCATCCTCAAATGTACCTGTTAAGACTGAAGGTCCAGAAATTGGCAAATGTATGCAAATGTCTTCATGTCCTAATCTGGGTTTTGCTTAATGTGATTAAGAACATAAAAATGGCCATACGCCAGCCACTCAGTCCTACTTCTTGTTCAACCAATCACTCGGACAAACAAGTTTGTTTACATTTGCAGGAGATAATGCTGCCTGTTTCTTGTTTACAATATCACCTGAAAGTGAGAACAGGGGTTCGCATGGCACTGTTGTAGCCGGCATCGCAAGATATTTATGTGCCAGATGCACTAAATATTCATATGTCCCTTCCTGCTTCAACCACCATTCCAGAGGACATGCATCCATGCTGATAACGGGTTCTACTTGATAACCATCCAAAGCAGTGCAGACTGATGCATGTTCATTTTCATCATCTGAGTCAGATGCCATCAGCACAAGGTTGATTTTCTTTTTTGGTGGTTCAGGTTCTGTAGTTTCTGCATCGGAGTGTTGCTCTTTTAAGACTTCTGAAAGCGTGCTCTAGTCTACACCTCGTCCTGATCAGGTTTTGGAAGGCATTTCAGATTCTTAAACCTGGGGTTGAGTGCTGTAGCGATCTTTAGAAATCTCACATTGGTACCTTCTTTGCATTTTGTGAAATCTGCACTGAAAGTGTTCTTAAAATGAACAACATGTGCTCGGTCATCATCTGAGACTGCTATAACATGAACTATATGGCAGAATGTGGGAAAAACAGAGTAGGAGACATACAAATCTCCCTCAAGGAGTTCAGCCACAAATTTAATTGATGTATTATTTTTTTTAATGAGCATCATCAGCCTGGAAACATATCCTTTGTAATGGTGGCTGAAGCATGAAGGGGCATATGAATGTTTGGCGTATCTGGCACATAAATACCTTGCAACGCCAGCTACAAAAGTCCCATGCGAACGTCTGTCCTCACTTTTAGGTGACACTGTAAATAAGAAGCGGGGAGCATTATCTCCTGTAAATGTAAACAAACTTGTTTGTCTTAGAGATTGGTTGAATGAGAATGAGGACCGAGTGGACTTGTAGGCTCTAAGTTTTACATTGTTTTGTTTTTGAGTGCAGTTATTGTAACAAAAAGATCTACATTTGTAAGTTACACTTTCACCATAAAGAGATTGATCTACAGTACTTACAGGAGGTGAATTGAAAAATAATATTTCTTTAGTTTGCCATTTTTACAGTGCAAATATTTGTAATCAAAAATAGCAATGTTAAGTGAGCACTGTCTACTTTGTATACTGTGTTGTAATTGAAATAAATATATTTGAAAATGTAGAAAACATCCAAAACATTAAATAAATTTCAGTTGTAATTCTATTAACAGTGCAATTAAAACTGCGATTAATCAGGATTAATTTTTTTAATTATGATTAATTTTTTTTTAGTTATTTGCGTGAGTTAACTGCAATTAATCAACAGCTCTAGAAAAAATATTAATTCAATAACGTGCTTTATTGCTTTTCTTCACTAGCCACCTCTTGCTAATTCAACAAGATTGGGCATCCATATTTATAGAGAAATGGGATCTTTGGGACTAGGTTACTATTGTGATAAATAAAATTAAATTATATAAACTCAAATCAGTTTATGTAATTTCCCATTGGATAAAGTCAGCATCAATATCCAGGAAAGAAAGGCATGAAGTCATTGAAAAGTGAGCAATGGTTACTTGTATTCTTCGAATTAAAACCCCTCAGCTTTCCTCCTTTACCCTTGAAAATATCCCCTCCCAATGCCCCACTGCTACAATCTTAGCTTTGTATCTTTGCAATCTTCTTGTTTTCTGATCAGACATTGTCTCAAACTAAATGCACATTTATATTTCACATTTTTTCCTCCTAAGACTATTCACCTGTTAAACATTTCCTGAAAGTTTACAAGCTAGTTGCAGTCTGTTTACTATACCTGACACTTCCAGGAATCAGATGTGGGTGCATGTCCTTTTTCTAAAGGACAGAGGTAATTCTAGTATAACTCGGCAGATATCGGCAACCAGATACTTATAATAAAGATTATTTTGGGTAGGATTGATCAATAGTAAGAGCTGAAGGGTCACTGAAAACTCACAGGATTTTAATAGCTGTTCTTTGATAATAGCTAGGACACCATGTACTCTGCAGCACAACAGGACTAAATTATGTGACAGTATTAACTTACTAAATCCTTCAGTCCCACCTCCCACTCACTCCTATGCAAACACAATTGTGATTCATAGCTGAAGAAATTCATAGTTGTACAATGTTTCAATTATGGATTTTCTAATATGATTTCTGAAGATGTTTTCTTCTTCACTGTGTTCACCAGGCAGCCTGGCTTCATTCCTCAGGCCTCACTTTCAGCCGTGTTGTCCAGGCAGCCAGCTCAGAACTGCTACTCTCCACCTCCCATTGTGTGCCAGAGAAGGGGTAGTTTGCAGCTTGCTTCAGGGGTTCATTTCGCCACTTACCTGGCAGGTCAGCTCACCAACCAGTACTTTTGGCTTATCCCATTCCCACCCCGTCTGCAAGCTGGACTCCAGCCCTAGCTTACCAGCCCACTCCTCCATGGAACACAGGAGGGAGCATGAACTGTAATCTAAGTAACAAACCTTTGTGGGAAAACTGGAAGGCAGGAGGCAGCTGCAGGCGGTTCCAACAGGGGAGGAGACAGAAAATAAAATGTTGGGCATCTGGCTGCAACAAAATACATTCTGAGACAAAAATACCAAATCTCTCTCTCTCTCTCTCTCTCTCTCACACACACACACACACACACACACACACACACACACTAG